GAAAATCCAAAAGATCAATGAAATCAAGAGCTGGTTCTTTGAAAAAATAAGATTGATGAACCACTAGCAAGACTCAAAAAGTAAGAGATAGAGAACCCTAGTAAACCGAATCAGAACTGAAAAGGGTACATCACAGCAGAAACTAAAGAAATTCAAAAGATCATCAGAGATTACTTTGAAAGTCTATATGCCATGAAATGAGAGAATCTAGAAGAAATGGATAAATTCTTGGACTCCTATAAACTCCAAGGCTGAACTGAGATTTGGAATATCTGAATAGATCTATTACTATCAAGGAAATGGAAACAGTAATTGAAAGTCTTCCCCAAAATAAAAGCCCAGGTCCAGATGAATTCACTAGTGAATTCTTCTTAACCTTTAAAGAGGACCTATTGCCAGTCCTTTACAAGCTTTTCCAGGAAATTGAAGAAACAGAAACACTCCCAAACAGTTTTTATGAGGCACATATCACCCTAATACCAAAAGCAGACAGAGACCACAAAAAAAAGATTACAGGCCGATATCCCCCATAAACAGTAATGCAAAGATCCTCAACAAAATATTAGCAAATAGAATCCAATGACTCATCAAGAAGATCATACACCGTGACCAAGTGGAGTTCATCATGGGCATGCAAGGATGGTTTAACATTTGCAAGTCAATCCACATGATCTGTCATATCACTGTCACTGTCCTCCTGTTGTTCATCGATTTGCTCGAGCAGGCCCAGTAACATCTCCATTGGAGACTTTGTTGTTACTGTGTTTGGCATATCGAATACATCACGGGTAGCTTGCCAGGCTCTGCTGTGCGGGCAAGATACTCTCAGTAGCTTGCCGGGCTCTCGGAGAGGGGCGGAGGAATCGAACTCAGGTTGGCCGTGTTGGCTGCATGCAAGGCAAACACCCTACCGCTGTGCTATCACTCCAGCCCGATCTATCATATCAATAAAAGAAAAACAAAAACCATGTGACCATATCAGTAAATTCAGAGAAAGCATTTGACAAGATACAGCATCCGTTTATGATGAAAACTCTCAGCAAAATGGGAATTGAAGGAACTTTTCTCAATAGTGGAAAGGTAATATCCATGGCCAGGATGAACATGGGTTAGGAGAACTGGTAAATGGTTGGAACTAACCACAAGCGTCTATGGGGCTGAGCGTAGGTAAGAGAGAAGAGACCAGTATGATGATAAAAGCTGAGAATGATCATGCTTGAGAAGACCTGAGGGTTAAAATTAGGTAAGTCATATTCTTGATAATCTTTAAGTATCAATATTGCAAACTATAATAACCAAAAGGGGGGAGAGAGAGAGAGAGAGAGAGAGAGAGAGAGAGAGAGAGAGAGAGAGAGAGAGAGAGAGAGAGAGGAGCGTCTTCCAAAGAGGCAGGCAAGGGGTGAAGGGTGATGGGAAGGAACCTGGGGATACTGGTGCTGGGAAATGTACACTGGTGGAGGGATGCATGTTGAAATATGACTGAAATTCAATCATGGATGGCTTTATAATGCTCTAAAAATAATAATAACAAATAAAGGGCTGTCCACATTATCCAAAAACTCCTTAATGTCCAGCCTTACTTCTTTCAGATTGATTATGTCACGTAGACTGAAATGGTCAGCAGTCCTTTTTGAGGAGTGATTCAGAGATTCAAGCATCTGGTTTTTTCCATACTAGAATTCCTGACCTTAGCTGTGAGGATAGAAGGAGAGAAGAGAAATAGGGCAGAGAGAGAGAATGAGAGAATGCATGAATGAGAATGAATATAAGCTCAGGGTCTCACAAAGAATTTTAGGGGCAAGCATGAAAGTTGTAAACTAACATTTCTGTACCCATTCTATGACCAGAGCTAGTCGGATTGCTATTATCTCCCCTCTAATGGTTCTAGAATCTGTTTGCACCATTGCAAGAAATTGTTTAGATGAAGGTCCTGACAGAACAGTGAAACTTAAATTTAGCCGCCAGTTGAGGGCATTTTTTAAAAAGTTGGTCTAGTTCACTCCACAGCTGTTCCTGGAGTTCTCTATTTTGCTAGAACCAACACATCACCCAAAAGAATGTTCTCATCATGATGTTTCTTTCTTATTTTAGAGATTTGAAAAAAAATCTCCTCATCTACAGAATCAGTAGATTCTGTACTTTGGGGAATCTACTGAAATACCTATTTCTGAAGATTTGTTCCTGTGAAGTTGTTTGTATATGACTTTCCTTCTGTGGTGTCAGTATCATTTTCTCCTCTTCTAAGACTCATCACAGTGGATTTAGGTCTCTTCTAAAATTACCTTATTGAACTTCATTATCTCATCTTTAAAAAATAAGAACAGCCTATCTCCAAATAAAGCCACATTCTGAGATTCTTGGATTTAGAACTCCAGTCTGTGAATTTGAATGACAAACTCTTTAGACCATACTAGGCACAAAGCCCTGCTGGTCTATAAAATGGTTACATTTCTAGGTTTCTTTTTTGGGGGGGGTTGTGGTGAGATGGAGGGAGGCACACTGAATATGCTCACGACTTAGTTCTGGCTTTGTGCTTAGGGATCACTACTGGTTTGGGATCATATGTGGTGCTGGAATCAAACAAGGATTAGCAGCGTGCAAGTGGGGCTCCTTTATCCCTATTCCGTCTTTCTAACTTTCGATTTTGTTGTAAGCATCCAAGGTATAATGTGTACAGACTATTTAGCATGGTAATTGATATTTACTTGTTATTTACATAATTGCTATCTAGCTAAATGAGAAGTTAGCTAGAAATAACTTTTTATGATAGCCACAAAGCCTATTATATCTAGGTCTGTCATCCATCCTTGTTGGAGTTGGGTATGTGTATAACTGTCCAGTTACTCCAGGCCTACGATGATTGTAATCTTTCTTGTGTGTTCGTGACATTGTAGCAGGCTGCCTTCAACACAAAAATGGAGGGTTGATCCTATGGACAGGAGTTAATTTTATGTTTGAGGGTTTCTGAGTAGTCTCCAACGGCAGTAAACTTTGGGGTTATTAAGCACCATAGATAACTGTGAAATGGTCTTTGTCATCCAGGTTCCTGTCGTGGCCCCTGCACCCCTTGCTGAGTGTGGCCCCCAAAACAAAGAAACACTAAGATGGTTCTTATTAATGTGAATTTTTATCACTACCTTTGTTTTTTTTGGTTCATACCTAGCTCTACTCCAGGGCTTGTTCCTGGCTCTGTGCTCGGAGATCACCCCAGTGATGCTTAAGGGATCAGAAGGTGTGACCCTGAGTCAGCTGCATGCAAGGCAAGCTCCCTACCCACTGTACTAATTCACCAGCCCCAATAATGTATCTCTCCAGATACTGTAACATATCTTTTGAAAGTCATTAGTTTTTCTGTGACTGTTAGCCATTCCAGAAATTCTAGACTTGATAATATTGGTAGACTTGGTTGGTGTAATGTTGGTTTTATGGTAAGTTATCATTTGAGGCCCAAATAGATTCTGCCCATTATCTAAATTCCCAGAATCTCTTCTGTCAACTGGCATAAATGTTGCTTCCAAAAAGTACTGCTGTAGTCACCAGAAAGTCTGTTCATGTTAACTGCCAGCAAGCATTGCTCTTCTGTTACAGTTACAAGAAGGATGATTGGATTGTAGAGGTTCTGATGGTGTAAGAGGCTAAGGAAAACAATTGGTGGCCCCCTGATCAACAGAATCTTTAGATGTTGTAGGGAAGTTGCATGATTTTTTTTGTTTTGTTTTGCTTGTTGGACCACACTTGTCGTGCTCAGAAGCTGCCTTCAGTTGTGCTCAGAGGTTTATCCTGGTGAGGTTGAACCTGTATGTAAAGCATGTACTCAACCCTCTGAGCCACCTCACTGATCTTCATGGTTATTCATTATACCAGTACCCATCCCTGATGGCATTTGGATTCTCCAGCTGCATTCTGCATGGCTCAGGATAGCTTCATTTGCACATCACGACTCCTAAGCTTGAGTCAAGGCCATAGCTGCTTCTCTCCTTCTACCCTCTGGATGAGTTTCACCAATTTCTCTTTTGAAGTGTCTCTGTAGTGTCTGTGCTTTTTAGTAGAAGTCATTTGATAACCAGTATGAATACGATGCTGTAAAAATATATATATGAATTTCTAGAAATAGTTTTCAACCTACTGTAAAAGAATGAATGTAATCCTTTGTACATGGGCATCCAGGTTTGATCCCAACACTGTGGACTGCTTGGACCACTGAGCTCTACCTAGTTAGGACTCTGTGGGCTGAAATGTGTGATTAGTTATGTTGAAACAAGTTTCTTTACTGTTTCCCTATAAATATATTTTCATTCTTGTGAAAGGAAAAAAACAGCAGTGACATAAACAGCCTTCCTTATAAATTCCTCCTTCGATGCATTTCCACTATCTAAAATTCTCTGTCTTCTCATACAAGGGCTGGAGCGATAGCACAGTAGTAGGGTATTTGCCTTGCGTGCAGCCAGCCTGGCCGAGCCGGGTTTGATTCCTCTGCCCCTCTCGAAGAGCCCGGTAAGCTACCGAGAGTATCTAGCCCTCACGGCAAAGCCTGGCAAGCTACCTGTGACATATTCAATATACCAAACACAGTAACAACAAGTCTCAAAATGGAGATGTTACTGGGCCCACTCGAGCAAATTGACGAAGAACAGGAGGACAGTGTTTGTGTTTGTTTTCTCATATAAAATGACCAAAGGTACCTTTAAATATCACATTGTAAAACCTTAAAGGACAAAATATTGTCAGTCATATCTCAATAAAGCTGGAAAAAAATAGGTTGCTGTTTGCCTTAGCATATTATGGACAATAATACAGCCTCAGACAGAACCTTCCTACTCATCTACCACCTATGTAGGTTGTTCCTACCTTTGATGCCTTTTCCTCTTCTGGTGTTTTTTCATTTTGTCTTTACTTATGTAACTTGTGTTTTTATTTATGTCTGAACATTTGTCTTTTCATGTTTTACTTGGTTTTATTAATTAAAAAGAAAACCCAATCCTTTTTAATTTTTTTTCCAGAAAAGAGCAAGTCTGTACCTTGTATCAAAATATCAACCTTGTGGAACCAAGACTAATCCAGCCATATGAACATATTATCAAGAACTTTATTCGGGAAATCAGACTTCAGAGCACAGAGATGGAGAACCTGGCCATTGCAGTGAAGAGGTATTGAAGATTCCTTTGAGGTGGAGGGGAGGTGGGGGAGGGTGGCACCTAGGGCCCTTTTGCTGGCTCTCTGGCCTGAATGTGCAGGATAGGACTGCATTATCACCCTCTGGTCTGGAAACACCTCCTGAGCCTGAGCAGTTTGGAGTTTCATGTAGTAAGGGAGGTTGAACTGGGCACTGCTTTATAGACTTGACCAGCAGCCCATCAGTATAGTTCACTATGATCCACAGTATGTCTTCACCGGATCCTAGCATCAAGAGCAGTGATGCCATACAGAGCAGTTTGGAGAATACAGGAATCTTTTCTTCCAGTGATGTGGGCAGTCTCTCTTTGAATCTGACTGTGTTGCCTGCATGTTCCTTAATCTCCTGAGTCTCAGCTTCAGCTGAGATGATGTCAGTAGATGATGTCAGGAACCCTGCATGGTGAGATCCCGCAGTAATCCCCCCTTCTAGCTGGCCTTCCTCACCCTGTCTGAGTGGAAGTCCCCTATATATGATTTATAGCTACTTATGTGTAAGAGACCTCACAGGTTTTAACAGCAGCTTAAGTGCTGAAGCTTTTCTCTGTGCTGCAGACTACATACCAGCATCTTTGCTCCTAGCATGAATTATAATCTTCTGACATGTATCTATAAGAGCTTTTTGATACATGCCACTTGGAGGAGCAACCTAGAGGTTTTGAGGGGGCCACAGGCCACTCTTGGCAGTATTTAGAGTTCACCCGGGCTAAACCAATGGCACCTAAGGAGCGGTGTGCTGCTGGGGATCAAACTCTGGGCTTTGTGCATGTCAAGTATATATGTGCTCTACCAGTGTGAGCCATATCCTTGATCCGGGCTTGACCATTTTGTATGACCCATTTGTGGTGTCCTGCTCCATGCTGGCTTCTGGCCAGAACTTGTAAAAGTCCTTTGAGTAGAATGCGCTCTGTTTGCATAGGGACAGAGAGACTGACCTCAGTTTCCTGCAGGATGATGAAAACCATCTAATTGATCCTTTGAAGTAACTTGGGAGAATTCAAATGCAGAAAAGAGGATGTTTTTAAAATTGATGTTAAAAAGATTTTGAACTTCCTGAAGTCATGCAGGAATGGAACATTTCACAGGGGGTTTGTTTATTTGTTTGTTTATTTTTAGGGAACACCCAGTGGTGCTTAGGAGTTACTCCTGAATCTGTTCAAGAATCATTCCTAGAGAACTCAGGGGATCATACAGGGTGCTAGGGATGGAACTTGAGCCATCCCCATGCCAGACAAGTGTCCTACCTTCTGTACAATTGCTTTGATCCCTCACCAGGGGTTTCTTATGACTATTTCAGTTCTTGATTCTGAACTTTCCTCTCAATTTTGCTTAGTTGGGACTTTAGGCAGGCTGCCAGGTGCTCCTGAGATCACGGGGTTCTGTATAGCACTGTGGAGTGTGGGTCAGAAACCCAGAGTTAGGGTCCTTTGAGGGCTAGCCAGAGACTTGTTGAGGCTTTGGAGTGTCCAGTGAAAATAGACCAACATGCAGTCCCATGCAGGACCTTCCAGAGCTAGGTGGGAAGCACACACATGCACGCTGACATCTGAAAACACAGCTATGCAAACCCGCAGAGAGGAGGAGAGGGGCTTTCCCTTGTTCTTGTGGCCATTTGGGCTGCTGCTTCCTGTGGAGTCAGCCTGTCACTGCTTTGCCTTGTGGATTAAATCTGAAGTCCAGGACCTCCCAAAGATTCTCTCTTAGCCCTAGTAAAGTGTGTAAGTTTTACTTGCTAACATGCTCTTATATTCTTAGCTAAGAACCATCCATCTCAATTCTTATTTTTGATTGGAGGAGCGTCTCAAGTCTTTTCTCTCTGCATTTGATCCTGAAGGGGAGGTTCTCAGAATCCTGGTAGAAGCCCTATAGTAGGTTATGGTGGGCGTTGCCAACACGCTAGAAATTGGACTAGGAATTAGGATTTATTGGGCAAGACACCGTGCTGTTATAGACTACCCTGGAGCGATAGCACAGCGGTAGGGCGTTCGCCTTACAAGCGGCCAACATGGCCGACCCGAGTTCGATTCCTCCGCCCCTCTCGGAGAGCCGGGCAAGCTACTGAGAGTATTCGATATGCCAGACACAGTAACAATAAAGTCTCTAATGGAGACGTTACTTTCTTTTATACCTAGGAGAAAAGATAGTTGCTAGAAGTGAGAAAAGCAGATGTAGCATATTCAGAAGCAGTCCTAGATTCCAAGATGTTGTGGACCAGAGGTCTAGAAGGGATGCTGGGGAAATGTGTTTTAACAAGATAGGAAGGACATGTTTCTTAGCTAAAAAGTTACTGTCAAGAAAAGTCCCTAGACTTTAGCAGTATTTATGCATATGTTTGAACTGGCTGATTTTCCAAAACTCAGTTACCGTAACCTTGGGCAGGTTATAGAAAAAGAGGAAGTAAACAGGAGCAAAAACCAGTGCTGAGTTACTCAATATTTAGGCACTATGCGCTCTGTGCCTTATTAGACCTTACTCAGAAGCCTGTACTATCATAAAGTCACCCACATTCTTATTAGACAGTTGTTAAATAAAAATATCTTGGAACTCTTTGCAGTGAAATTGTTCTACTTTTGATTTTCAGCAGCTCAGCGAACCCTGTTTCTATAAGATGCAACTTACTGATTGTGCCACTGAAAGGATCAATATCAATAAAACAAAAAAGGAAAACTAGAACATTACATAACCATTAGAAAGAGTTACTGAGACCCTTTTTCTTTTTTTCTTGTGATGCCTCTCGTATATCACATTTTATGTTTTGTTTAAAAATTTTCAGATTACAATATCTGGAGTCAAAGATTATCAGAATTTATTGAGAACCTCCCAGTGATGTATTTTCCTCTTCTTTGGCATAATCTAGGTTAATACCATTGATTCCATTTATTTAAGATCTCATTTAAGTGTCATTTGTTATCATGTTATACCCAGTAATAAAATTGTGAACCTCATTTTAGAGTAAGGACCAGCAATCGCATTTTAAATGGTGTGTTTCTCCTCATCCATGAAATAGATGAGGTACAAATTTGTCTTCACAGGTTAGGTCCAAGAGTATAATGAACAGTGAATTTCATTGAATTTCAGAGCCCAGGACAAAGCAGCCATACAGCTGAGTGAGCTGGAAGAGGAAATGGATCAGAGGATTCAGGCTGCAGAGAACCAGACACGGAAAGATGTGAGTTTGCAGGACCGGGACCCTCCTCCACAAGCGCCAAAGGACCATTGTTCTTCTGCCAAAGCCTGTGCTCCCAGAGATTCCTTCCACAGCAGCATTTAGAGTGGTTGTGGCTTTTGCTGTGTAGAACAAGGAGTGAGAACAGCTATCATATGAGGAAAGGATTAGTTTCAGTGAGCAGTAAGTACTGTCCAGGAGCAGCCTGTGTGGAACAGAGTGGCTGGGAGTTGAGGCTGTGTTGGGATGGAGGTGCGGGGTGCCTCAGTGGAGGGCAGAACAGCGGAGGTTGCCAGAGCCAGCCTCACGGAGAAGGTGCTGTGTTGTGCTGACTTGTCTTTTACAGGCCGCTGTCTCACTGCCTCTGACCCCTGCCAATCTTAAGTCTGGATTTCAGGGAAATTAAAATTCCTCTGCCAATTTTGATGTCTTATGATAGAATATACCTCTGTTCTTCAGTATAGGAATGCAGAATTGACACTTGGATGCTGCCTTCAAAGATTTGCATTCAAAAAATATATTCACCCCCCCCCCATAAAATTCATTTGGGTAAATAATGTATACTAAAAGCCAAATATTAGCATATTTCTTTCAGCAACTAACATCAGATTGAAAATTTTTTTTTTGGCTTTATTCATTGGCTCACACCCAGCGATGCTCAGGGATTACTGTTAAATATACTTACGTCCCATTGCTCACATTAATATAATTCAGTTTTCTTGCAGTATAAATAGCACACAATAAATGGTACATATTGAAATTATCTAATCTGGTAAGATTAGATACAGGCATTCAGTATGGAACTATCCCCACAGTCAAGATAATGGGTATATACATCTGCCATATGTTTCCTGATAGCCCTGTCATGCCTCTCTCCCTAGTGTCACCTTACCAGTCATCCACTGTGTATCTCCTTTAGTCACTGCATTTTAAAATGTTTTAATTCTAAAATCTAAAAATTGGGGCAGGGGGAGGGCAGTGGTCGTCTTTGAGCTTTGAGAGTTCTTTATATATTCTGATCCACAAATATTTCTTTGTGGTTGTGACTTACCATTTCCATTTCATTACCATATCTTTTGTTACTCTTTTCTCTAGTTTTTTTTTTTTTTGCCACACCAGGCAGTGCTCATGGGCTACTCCTAGCTCTGTGCTTGGGGAGGGATGTCTCCAAGGAGTAGTGAGGGGACCAGGTGATACCTAGCACTGAACCCGGGATTTCCGCATGGCAAGCATGTACTCAGCCTGTTGAGCTACCTCTTAGGCCCTAACAGGGTCTACTGAAGAATAGAATTATTTTACTTTTTTTCTTTTAAAGTTTTTTCTTTTAAGTTTTAGAAAAAAAAAATGGCACCATGATTTATACAAATAACGGAGTTCCAATCATTCAGTGTTCCAACTCCAATCCCACCGCCAGTGGCAGTGCCCCACCCCCTCACCCTGGTCAGCCCTGGTTCCCTCCCTCTCCCCACCCCACCTCTTTAGCAAACTCATGTTTTTAAAATTTAATTATAATAGTGGCCGAAGTTATAGCATAGAGGATCGGGCACCTGCTTTGCGTATGCCCAACCCCTGTTCAATCCCTGATGACACTTACTGTGTAAACTCAAAAAAGACAGCAGTGGCGGCTCTATCTCTCCTGCTGCCTGCGTTCAGTAGTCCCATGCAGGTTCCCCCACCCCGGGGAGGTCGATGGTGATGGGCAGGTGAAGGAAGGAACAAGGGCCAGGCTGGTTGGTCTTAGTTGCAGTTTATTCCATTCCCATCTCCATTCTCTTCTGATTCTCCTCCTGCTTCTCCCCACCACCCGCCATGCTACTTCATTCTCCTCCTTGATCCCCCTTCATTCTCCTTGCTCTGGAATCTGGATCCCCTTTCTCCTTCTCCTTCTGGAGTCTGACTCCTGATCTCCTAGCCCACTCTTACCATCTAGTTACATCCCAAAGCATGAGGGGTCGGGGTAACAATTACACATAGGTGTGGTCACAATCAATAGGGGTTAAGTTCTTTCCCTTGGGGAAAGCTGCTTCTAGGACAGATACTCTCTCAGCAGGATGACCCACCCTAGAACGGAATCCCCTGGGTGTGTTTCTCCTCTCCTTGTCCAACAAACATATAAGCATACATAATATAAATCATTTTGTATGGGTGCAGTAAGAAATATTTAAGCTTATAGAATTGCTCTTCTAGGGCCATCTCGATCTCAGACTACAGTGCTCAGGCCAGATAGTCTTTCCTATCCCTAGCAGGGTCCTAGTTTTGCCGTTACTTTTGGATCATGACAGCATTTGTCTATGATCAAGCTTTTAACTTATAGTTAAGAATCGTGGCACTTTGGCCTGGCCCATTTCGATGCCAGGGTAGCTCACTGCTTGCCCTGGGTCCATTCAGTCCCTCGTCGGGACCCTGATTTTGGGGTGCTAGGAAATAAGGGCAACTGAGGCTTAAGAAAGCAGATGCCCGGGAGTGAATAATATTCAAAGCCAATTAAATCCTAAGTAACAAAGCATAATCTTAACAGTCTTCTTGTATTTATTTTTTTAACAAAAATAGTTAAAGTAAACTATTCAAAAGACATAAGGAGAGGAGAAAGGCAATATTAACTCGCAGTACAATTTCAGTGTCCTAGAAGGATCTAACCTTACAAATGAACAGATGCTGATTAGGGGAAAAGCTGATTAACTGGTTGGGGAAGAGAGCAGAGAGAAGTGGTTACAGATAAACAAAGCAATGGGAGTGACTCTGGAGCACTGTAATGGGTGTAGCATGATAAACCTGAGCTCCTTGTGCCAAGGGAGAAAGGACAAAGCAATGTTATCCTACAACTTACGGTTTCCCGAGCCCTGCCAAGAGTGATCCCTGAGCATAGTGGGTGTGCTTTGATCCTCGTTCCCTCCACTTTACTCTAGCTTGGGCCGCGTGGCTACACTTGAGTTGGTTCTTATGTTTTTAATTGTTTCTGGGCCTCATCCAGCGGTGCTCAGGGCTTATTCCTGGGTCTGTGCTCAGGAATCATTCCTGATGGGACTAGGGGGACTGTATGGGGCGCAGGGAAGTGAACTTGCGTTAGATGCATGCACCTCCCCTCTGCACTATCTTTTTGGCCTCTCTATTATTTTGATATACTGAGTTACCATCCCTCTTGATAGCTGAAATTTCTGTGACCTTGACCCTTGTCCTTCTACTGCCAGCCCACCTTCCCAGGTCCTCAGTTTTCTTTGTCTTTGACATGCTTTTAACATCATTTGATTCCTCTTGTTACTCTGTTTTTCTGAGTGAGAACATCTGTATTTTCCCTTCTCCACTTTGCTTAATATGATATCCTTCAGTTACTTCTTGGTTGCAAAGAACTGCATGGTTTCATCTTTGCTGTGTGTGTGTGTGTGTGTGTGTGTGTGTGTGTGTGTGTGTGTGTAAGAGAGAGGGGGGGGAGTGTTGAGTGTCTCTTTATTCACTTGTCTGTTATTGGACTTCTTTTTTTTCTCGTATTTTAGCCATTATACCAAGTGCTCCAATGAACATAGGTGTGCATATATATCTTTCCAAGTAATGCTTCTGTTTTAGGGGTAGATGCCTAGAAGTAGAATTGCTGGGTCATATGCAGGCACTTTTCTTACTTTTTTTGAGAAATGAACATACTCTTTTCCATAGAGGCTGCAACAGATGGTATTTCCCACCAGCTGTAAATGACAGTTCTTTTTTTAATCACATTCCCAACATTGGTTGTTTCCTGTGCTCTTGATATATGCCACTCTTACTGGTGTGAGATGATGCCACATTGTTGTTTTATTTTTTATTTTCCTGATAATATTGATGATGAGCACGTTTTCATATACCTAACCATATATATATTTTCTTCATGGAAGTGTCTGTTCGTCTCCTTTCCCCTTTCTTGTGGGGTGATTGGTTTATTTGATACTGAGTTTTGCTTGTGCTTAATATATCCTGGATATATATCCTTTATATATTCATTCTGTGCAAATATCTTCTCCCATTTAGTAGGGTGTCTTTTTTGTTTTGGCTTCAGTTTGTTTTGGTCTGTAGAAACTTTTTTCTTTTGATGTCTCCTTTGCTTATTTTCATTTCTATTATCTCTGCAAATAGAATCACTTCACTGAGAAGAGGTCTAGATCTTAGAGCATTCTGCCTAACTTTTCTTTAACATATTTTACGAATTCAGGTCTAACCTTAATTTTTTTATAAATTTATTTATTGAATCACCATGAGAGCAGTTACAAAGCTTTTGAGTTTAAGTCTAGGTCAAACAATGATGAAACACCCATCCCTTTATCAGTGCACATTTTCCACCACCAAAAACCCCAGTACACCCCCATCCCACACTTTACCCCTACCTGTGGGGCAAATGATTTCCACATTTCTCTCTCTCTACTTTAATTAAATTCAATATTTTAACTCTCGGCAGAGCCTGGCAAGGTCCCTGTGACGTATTCGATATGCCAGACACAGTAACAACAAAGTCTCTAATGGAGACGTTACTGGGCCCGCTTGAGCAAATTTTAACTCCAGACCCACCATTATTATTTGGGATTTTACCCCAACACTCAGATCTGCTGAAATTAGATAGTTTGTTTTCTATTGCTTATTATGAATAGCATATGATGTCACGTGGCCGTGTGATTTTGGAATTCTGAAATTTTAATAATTAAATCTGGAAGGATATCTGCCAGAAGGTGCTGGGTTCCAAGATTTGTTTCTGAGTCTCTGGGATCATGGCCATTAAGCAACTTTGATCACCAGAGGGGTCATTTGTGGGTGGTAACTCGGGGTCTCATTTGGGCAGGGGAGGAAAGGGCCCGCTCCACCCCCATCCCGTGAGGCCCTGTGTGCCTCGTCACTGCCTAGCCCCTACTGTCTGGATCCTACCTGACTGTACATTGGCCTCTGAAAGATGGCGGCCACCAAGCCACCAGGGGGAATAGGCCCAGTGACGGCACCTTTTCCCATCTGGGGTGGGCCAGTGCTGGAAACTTAATGCGAAGTCCAGA